CCCCCCCCCCCCCAAAAACCCATTCTGATGGCTTCCTAGCAAACACACTACACTCTGCTCTTCACTAGTTGGCTGTAAGGCTGTATAAGATCATCCTGTTCACGTTTCCATCACCCCTCTTCACTGATGCTCAGGGCCTTTTCACTTGCTGTTACATCTTCCTAGATTACCTAGGTTGGTCATACTCCTTAGTTCTAAGCAGAAAAGAAATTTGTCACACGATTGTTAGTGGGATCTACTGTGACTCTTGCCACAATGGTTTGTATGCTTCCTGCGTCTGTACCCCTCTAAGTGGAAGCTTTGCTCAGATGCTTCCCTGTTGGGTTGGAGGTCATGTGACCATAGCTGCCTGCACAGGAAGCTGGGAAAGTGATCAGTAGTAGGGAGAGAAGCAAAGTACTGTACAGAACAGTGTATGATGTGCTTTTGGGAGAAGAATTAGGGTGGAAAATAAAAACGTATACTAATTTGTTTATGTTGCAAAGAAAAAAAACCAAAAAGACAAAGAAGCTAATTAATGTCCCTTGGTGGAGGGTGAGGGAAACAGCATGAAGAGAAAACGGAGGAGGTTAAGGTTTTTGAGTACACCTGTTTAGCTTTGACCTATATATCTAGAGCAAACAGCCAGAGAATCTAGATAAAAATATAAATACATTGTTAAACACTAGGAGAAACAATTTCGAGGGACTTCTTGAGTTGCACAGTAAATGAATGGTGTATATGCTATGGGCAAACAGAACTGCAAGGGAATTTGCAGCTTCATTTGCTTGTTTTATTGCTAGTTGTGTTACCGGCACTTTTTCTGAGCACCGTGTGATACAAATTGTAGGCTAAAGCCATTTGAGTCTTTCTGCTGTTATGTAGGAACCAATAGAGATAAGCATGAAAATCAAAGAAGCTAAGTAAGCAAAAAGAAAACCTAAATAACACTCAGTTCAGATTATAAATGTCACTATGAATTCATTGTTTAAAATATATATTTCTTTTTTTCTTTTCTTGAGACAGTGTCTTGCTATGTAGCCTCGGTTAGCCTTGAACTCTTGGTGATCTTTTCCTGCCTCAGCCTCCCGAGTGCTGGGATTACAGGCATGTGCCACCATGCCAAGTTTTTGTTTTTTGTTTTTTTTTTGGTACCGGGGATCAAACTCGAGTCCTTGCGCTTGTGAGGCAGGCGGCGGAACCACGGAGCTAAATCCCTGGCCCTATGCCAAGTTTTTAATCAGAATTTAATCAAACTTTTTATGTGTATCTTACATTTGCAAGTTACACGGCAGAGGGCAGGAGATGCAGCTCAGTGGTAGCACGTGCCTACCATGCACAAGCTCCAAGATTCAGTCAGTAGCACCACAACATAAAAGATATAAAGAATAAGGTATGGGAGATAAATTAGGGCTGGGCTGTGTATGTAGTTCAGTGGTAGGGTACAGGCCTCGAATGTAGCTGGGCCTGGACTTTCCAGATCCCTACCACAATTGCCGCACGCACACACACTCACATACACACGCAGAGCGATTCAATGTTACATTGAGGGAGCAGTCAGAAAAACTCAGAATGTGCAGTACAGGTGAACTGGCCATTTGCATCAGTAAATCAGTGTCATGGGGAAAAAATGGGCAGAGTGGAGGGCCGGGGATTTAGCTCAGTGGTTCCGCTGCCAGCTTCACAAGTATAGGGTCCCGAGTTCAATCCCTGGAACCAAAACAAAAAAATGGCAGAGTCGATGAGAGGAGATTGTATGATCAGCTTTAAGTTTGCGATGTTGGTGATGGGTGTGTAGGTGTTAATGCATAATATGTGTATCCATGTACACAGTTCTCTGTATGTGAAATTTATATGATAAAATTTTAAATTTTCTGTTGATAGATGTTTAGGTTGTTTGTAGTTTTTTCTTATTACAAATAGTGTCTCTGAACATTGCTGCACGCGTTTCTCTCTGTGCACGGGTTAAAGAGTACGCAAACAGCTGTCTCCCTGGCTGAGGCATCCCTGGGACAGAGGGTAGGGCGTCTTTAACCCTGCCAGTGTTGGTTGATCAGCTGTTCTTCCTGAGACTGAGCTGGTGAGAGGCGCCTTCTAGGGGACCAGGAGTTCTGGGCAGGCGGGCGCTCTGGCTCCGCACATGGGTCTGAGTGAATGGGATTGTATTGTGGGGTGTTGCCTGGCTGCAGGCTGGGGAAACCAGTCCAGTCAGCCAAGAGAGGCCATCGAGAGAGGCCATCGCGGAGGTGAAGGTGTGAGCTAGAGGTGGGTAGGGTGTGAGAAACCTTGGTGAGTGAGACAGGATCACAGCGTGTGTGTTCTTTTGTTGGCAGGATATTGATGCTTTACCGTTGCTACTTGCGACAGCCAGCGGTTGACTGGCTTCACTGTGTGAGGAGCAGGTAAGTTGCGCCTCCCTAATGGGTTCACAGCTGCTCAGTAGAGTCCAGCCTTGTCTTCATCTTCTGCTTGTGCTCTTCCGGATGAACGTGAGTGACTTAAAATGAAGTAGGGGTTGAATGCGGTAGAGTTGGTGCCTTGAAAAAGTTTTGGCTAATGATTCTAGGACACCTCTCTGCCCAACGGAAAAGTATATAAAGCACATTTAAACATTCTAGTAGCTGTGTTAAAAATAGGTAAACTTAATTTTAATATATATTATA